ATATTAGTCCGACACATTCAGGTTTCAGTAAATATTAAACTGAAAGCAAATACACTCTGGTTATAGGTATTGCAGTGGAACAATATTTGTTGTTAGTTTAGATAAAACAATACTTTGAATTGCTGTCAGTATTATTTCGATTTTATTCAGGTGTCCGATTTAAATCCAAACATGGAAGAGAATAAAATTGAATATAATCAAGCATCTGGAGTTGTATTTTTTCTTGAGATTTATCTTGGTAATCTTCAGTCAGTAAAGTTCTCGAATGACGACCACGAGCCGGAAGACGTAGTGTGGGCAGGCCACCCACTAGGTGGACTGACGATCTGGTGAAGGTCGCGGGAGGTGCTTGGATGCGGGCGACGCTGGACCGGTCTTTGTGGAAAACCTTGGGGGAGGCCTTTGTTCAGCTGTGGATGTCTTTCGGTTGAAACAAACGAAATAATAGTTAGTTAAAACAAAAGTTTCTCACAAAAACAAACCTACTTAACTAAATGTCACACCGCCCAAAACACACATTGTGCAAAAAACCATTTCCGTTTAACGAAACAACGGCGCACCGCAAAAAGTTCACGTTTCTATTCGGCTTTGAACTAAATGCCAGCGAGATTGAAACGTACAAACAGCACATCAAGTTTACTCGAAACTGTTGATTCTTATGTGCTCGTAACAGGCGCTATTTTGAAACAAAATAGTCTGATTTACTGTTGACTCTAGTTTTCAAACCGCGACTGCTGAATTTTGCTCGTAAGGGCGGAGCTTTTTATGGCGTTTACACCCAATGATTTGTTGCAACGATTAACCATCTTGACTGTTGAAATGTTAACACTTTTAGGCTGCGTTGCACCATCTTACTTTAACTTTGACAAACGTCAAAAATCTGTCAAACTCCATACAAAAAACACCGGTTATCGTTGTAGTTACGGTCAAAGTTAGGTGGTGCAACGCATTCAGCGCATTCTAACACCTGTCATTCTAAGTTGACAGTGAACTGAGCAGTGGTCCTAGCCAATTCCAATAAATTCAGATCACTGCCTCAAACCAGATGAAAATAGTCTTATTTGATATTTTCCATTGGAAAAATAGCATAATATTGTTTTTCTAGCGTCAGAGTGATTTCCACAGATTTCGTTTAGCAATTGTTCCAGGAGTTGCAGTATGTACCAGAATGACATGAGTCTCGTTTCTGTCAAAAGTCCTCGCATGTAAAGTCACATTGTCCAACTTGTTCACTTCGACGACATAGGTACGTCATTTCAGTTGCGTTTCAGTTCCCGCTCAGCTTTGGTGCCTGGGAGTTGTAGTTTCCACCTTTGAGGCGGGTTCGCAGGCCTTTGTTTCACCGCAAGCGCACCTTATTATGTGGTCAAAAGAACTTACGCTTAGTTTATACAGACTTCAGAGTTAAATTATGTTCCGCAATGAAAAGGTAGTTTAGTTCACACAGCACGACAGTAAATAAATATTTTGAAGCCAATAATATTGGCATAAAATTTTCCAATTAACAGAATGAAAGTTTATATGTAGGTAGTTATTTATTTAATTTTGACGAGGGAATAAAATCACTCTATCTAAAAACATGAAATCATTATTTTTTAAATTGTATGCGTTCAAAGTAAAAGCAAGATTGAAGCAACAACATGAAACGAAAACTTAATTCTAAACCCAGCCAAGCTTTACAGCATAAATACATCTCATTTTTCACAACGATAGCTTTTGTGATTTCAGTTCAGATCTTGTAGTAAAACTTAATATTCTGCGGTCACAAAAACCATTATTTACACAGACTATGCACCTTATAATATAACGAAGTTAAGTCAACGACTTGGGCGGGCCGCCCGCCCAATTTGGAGAGCTCACTTCGTAGCATTATATTCCTTAGAAAATATAATACTAGTACGAAAGTTGTATTAAAACGTCTGCTCTGACTAATATTGGCCCTTCTAGTGATAGCATGTAGAAAATTCTATATTACATACATTTGGTGAACGATAATCATAGAAGCAAACCAAAATGAAACTGAAAATTTTTTTCGTATTTTTTTTAAAAGTACCTACTACTGTATGTGCTTATGCATCCGACACTTTTTGTCATACCTGGTAATAAAATCTTGTACCTCTTATGTTAAGAGATCCCTGTAGCCGCTGGTATACCGTCGCGTTGAGAGTATAATATTATTTAAATTTTAAATGAAAATGCGTCGTTTATTATTATGCCTTCTTAACAAAATCATTTACACCTTTATCTGCTTCTATGATTTTTCGTATAGTCAATTTATTCATACACACACATATACATATTTTATATTAAATTGACTATCAAATACTTAAACAAAATATAATTAAATAATAACTTTGAATTATTTTTGTGACAAAAGTTATAAAATTTTTGAGTTCCAAAATGATTTTAGAAATATTTTTCAGTATACAGTTTTAAACAATGTTGTGCTTGAAATTGCGCTTTTACATAAAGGATTCTTTTGTATAGAAATATTTACATTGTTACAATTAATGTTTTATGTAATATATTATCTTGTAGGACTAGTTACTTATACATAAACAACATTTACGACGACAGATTTTACATATTTGATGCAATAATAAACGTTATCATAAAATTATAATTATTTTTTTTCTAGCACACATCCCTAACGTTTAAACATATAAAATAAGTATGTTCTTGCAACAAAAAAGATACAAATGCCAGAGGAAATAGGTAACGTGTACCTTTATCGTATTATTAAGAGGTCATAATTATTTTTAGTAAATAAAAATAAATTTAAAAGTAAGTCACAAAATTATCAACCCACATACCGGAAGACGATTTAATTTTTAAAAGCGAAAACTCGAACGCCAATACATTTCAAATGAATAAAATACATTTGGACCAGCCATTATAATAATTAAAATATAGTGCAACATTACAATAACAATAAATAATTACAATTAATATATTTTTCATCATAACAAGCGTTTTGTGACATTATAGCGCTGCTAGAACGCACACCTTTTTTTGACACGAGCACAAACTGTAATACGACTTTGCCTACAGGGCTATTTGTCATTTGACCATTAATTAACTTTTTGACAGTTTAATTCAACAGAGGGCAGGCCAGCCAGCAGATTAGTCCTCTCAAAAGTTACAGCATGCCGCAATATGAGGGTGGTCCGCTTCTATAGCTTTTTAGTTATTCTGGTTTCTGGTATGGCGACCCGTGTCATTACACACTATGACACAAGCATTTAATTAACCAATACCAGGACCTGTAGGCCGTTTGTATCTACATAACTTGATATCAGCCTTACAGCGTTTGACAGAAGAAGCAACAATATTTTATATTGGGTGAACTTCTATTCAATACATTGTACAGCAACATTACTAAGTGGCAGTTGTACACAACAGTTTTGGACGAAATGTTCTAATCGAAAATAGTCATCAATATGTTCCCAGCAATATGAAGAAAGGTGTGCGTTCGCGCAGAACTTAACATTCTAATTAAAATATTACACCAACAGACACACTCATTGCGCTATTATCTACAATCATATTTCCCCAAACATTATTCTACAAGAATCTATAACAGACCACTGATCACTGCAAGCCTTCCAGTTTATCGTAACATCGGGATCGCCGTAAAATAGTCTCATAAAAACACTGTATAGTCAATGCTCACTGTTAAATTGACATTTGCTTATCCTCTCCTGATTATGGAGTCTAGTCTCGCTTCGAAGTGTTCTCACTAAGCTAACAGATGTCTGAATTGCCGAGTTTATGTTTGATTGCGAGCGAAGGGTTCAAAATTTATCAAAAGTTTGCAAAGTCCTTGAATAATTCGCCTAGCAGTTACCAACTGCCCCCAGCAGTTAGCAACTGACGCTGAAGCAGCTGTTAACCTAGTGGACCACTTTCTTACTTGTTCATTGGAAGTTAGTTTCCACACTGCGCTCACGTGGAGTTGGCCATGCCTCCCTTCTCGAAGCCTTCCACAAGGGTCTCCAGGATGAATTTGATAGTGATTTTGTAGATGTTCTCCACGTTCGGTGTATAACGGTCGCCGAGGGTAGCCTCGACCGCCGCCAAGAATGGCGTCTCGATTTTCTGGAAGAATAGAAAGAGGGGTTATTCTATGAAGATTAATGGTTTCTTTTATCGTGTAAACCCTTGACCTATAGCCTAGATTTATGAGCCACTTTACTACCGTCAAAAGTTCAGATGTTGTATTATGTGTTGCATTTGACATTTCAAAATACAAAGGGTTTATTTACCTTTAAAGGCAGTAAAGTGTGCCCTTTCTAAGGTATTAGCGACAACCGTTTTGATTTGATCAAAGTATAAAAATCCTAGTTAAATTGGGGATTCCCCTTAATCAGTGACTTTTGAATACTAAGTTCAATTCCTGGTAATTGAACTCAAGAGCTTCGGATCTAAAACGATCAATAATTCAATAACCTTGAAAGCGAAGCCTATACTAAGCCAAATGCTCCTAATGCTTATAATGTCTTATTGTTGCTGATATTTAAACTCATTTCTTCCTTATTTGCTTCGTCCATTTTCCTTCGTATCTGGACTACACACACGTCCAATTAAGACGTCCGCAAAGGCCTACGAAATTTCCCTACCGTTCCTAACTTATATTCCTTTCAAGTGCCTCGGGCTTCCTTTCACCCTAACCGTGTTAGAACGTCAGGAGTACTTTATTCGTAGGCCCTTCCGGTCAGGTCAAAGGGGCTTTGACGTCGCTTCCGTATTGGGGAGGCTGACTTCGTTAGCCTGTAAACGTGCCGTCAAAGACGTGGCGTTTTCGTATAAGTAGGTATGGTTTGTAGGTTGAGAAAAAAAGGTGAAGTGTGAGCAAGAGCATGGGCGGTAAAAGGTGGTGTGCTCTCAGGAAAATACGGTTTTTGTGTCTATTAATTTTGCCCCATTGATTTAGGAAAACATCTTTTCATCTATACTTTCTTCACGCGGAAAGTCTAAATTTATTTATTGTTCAAATATTCAACTTACAAATTACATTAATGAACAGAACTTCATGCAAGTAAAGGAAAATAAGGTTTCTCTAAAACTAACCAAAATCACCAAGTGTTAAAAGAGTCGGAATTTAATTGTTTAACCTTTCACTGTGGAGCCTTCCTTAGCTGTTTTTGCATATCTGTGAAACCGATTCCCAGTATAACGTATATTCGGTTATCGGATAAAAAATTTATTCAATAATGTAAGTAAGTTTCAGTTCTTCTGAGCGAGGACTTCGAGTCTTGAATTGTGTGTAAGTGATGTGGTTCAATCGATCAATAAATGGGTGGCCTAGAAAGAAAGTGCCCTGTTTTATAGATTACCGGTATAAATAAAGATGTATTTTTCAAGTGTGCGAGTGGATCAATTGATGATCAAATATGAAACTAAAGAAAAAGCGAAAAATTCGGAAAGAAGTTACGAGATTCAATTTGGAAAAATAGTAAAATTTTGGAAATTTTTACCATCATAGTTAAATGTAGAATTTTGATATTTTCTTGTATAGAGCCTGGAATACAGACAAAAATAGTCTCCAGGCGCAAGTTGTCAGTAATGCCGAACATAATACGATTGAGGCAAATGGCGGCGACACCTAACAGCCATCTATCATTTCACTCTTTGATACATTTGATATCGCAGAAGTTTGAGCGACAAAAGAAAAAATAGGCCTCAATACAGACGGATATGAAACGCAAGCGGAATTGGATTGGAATTGATGGTACAAAGTGGATATTAGGTTTCACAAGATTCAGCTATCTACCCTATTCATATTTTTATTGAAATCTTTGTTGGTATTATCGTAGGACATTATTTGACGCCTATTTTCATAGAAAAGAAACTAATACGATAAAATAAGGAAATACTTTTGTATTGCACTCCGTGTATCTGTGTATTGCAGGGAAGCGCTGGACGCAGGCCGCTACCAATTGATAAACATGGAAAGCATTGGGGGAGGCCTATGTTCAGCAGTGGACGTCTAATGGCTGAAATGATGATGATGATGATGATTACTCTATGTAGAACTGTGTAGAATTTAAATCACTATTATGTAAATAATTTTATTTTTTCCAAAGAAATAATTCTCGATTAAATTAGAATGGACAGGGATTTTAAAAATAATCTCTGTTTACGTTTTTCATAAAAACGAACATCGAATAACTCTCTGTAGAGACCATTAGAATAATTTCATAACAGAAATCCATTTAATATTCCGATCTCGCCTCTTATTTCTCGCCAGGAGCGAATTATTTAGGAACATTTACGATTTTCCATAATAATATTTCATGAAAGGCAATAAGTTAATCTAATCTTGCAGTATACTTACCGAACGCGAGAGATTCGCGTACGAAATAAAAATATCAATAAATTCATGAAAATTCGCAAATTTTTTTTTTGTATAAGTATGGCTATGCCCGCGATTTCGTATGCGTGAAAATATTTTGAACATTTTTTCCGTTTGCGCAACATTTTTATTGATACTCGCTCCTATTGATCGTAGCGTGATGTTATTGTATGGGCTGGGCAATCGCACACAAAAATATTTTTTCAAATCGGAACAGCCGTTTCTGAGATTAGCGCATTCAACCAAACAAACTCTTCAGCTTTATAATATTAGTGTAGGTAATACAGGCTGTGCTAAACTGAGATATGACTAAATTTTTTAAGTATGGACATTTAACGAGTTGTCTCTCCCTCGCGCTCGCAATTAACTATTATTATTTATTAGACACCTATATTCCGATACTAGCGGCCGCCCGCGACTTCGTACGCGTGGATCTCGTTTTACCCCCCCCCCCCCCTTCATCTATCTTACGCGGTTCAGATTTTTTCATACATTTTTTTTCCCGCTAACTCCCGTTCCCGTGGGATTTTGCAATATACTGTTATAACTAAGCTTTAAGTTTACTGAGGTACCTGCATGCCAAATTTCAAGAGTCTATCTTACGCGGTTTAGATTTTTTCATACAAATGTTTTTTCCCGCTAACTCCCGTTCTCGTGGGAATTTTACAATATACTGTTGCAACTAAGCTTTAAGTTTACTAAGGTACCTGCATGCCAAATTTCAAGCGTTTATCTTACGCGGTTTAGATTTTTTCACACAAATGTTTTTTCCCACTAACTCCCGTTCCCGTGAGAATTTTGCAATAGCCTATTGTAACTAAGCTTTAAGTTTACTAAGGTACCTGCGAGCCAAATTTCAAGCGTCTAACTTAAGCGGTTTAGATTTTTCATACAAATGTTTTTTCCCGCTAACTCCCGTTCCCGTGGGAATTTTGCAATATCCTGTTGTAACTAAGCTTTGAGTTTACTAAGGTACCTGCATGCCAAATTTCAAGCGTCTAACTTAAGCAGTTTAGATTTTTCATACAAAAGCATTTTCCCGCTATTTCCCGTTCCCGTGGGAATTCCTAAGTATCCTATAACCTGCCCAGGAGTATGAAGAATAATTGTACCAAGTTTCGTTAAAATCCGTCAAGTAGTTTTTGTTTCTATAAGGAACATACAGACAGACAGACAGACAGACAGACAGACAGACAGACAGACAGACAAAAATTTTACTGATTGCATTTTTGGCATCAGTATCGATCACTAATCACCCCCTGGTAGTTATTTTGAAAATATATTTCATGTACAGAATTGACCTCTCTACAGATTTATTATAAGTATAGATAACCTATCTAAATATAATATCTCAAAGGTGACTGACTAATTGACTGACATAGTCATCTATCAACGCACAGCCCAAACCACTGGACGGTTCGGGCTGAAATCTGGCATGCAGGCAGATGTTATAACGTAGGCATCAGCTAAGAAAGGATTTTACGAAATTCCATCCCTAAGGGGAAAAACGGGATCCACGCGTACATAGTTGCGGGCGGCTACTAGTATTGTTATAATTATATAGGTTGTAGTAAACAATACTATTATGTTTACATTACTGACCAATTTGATTTTCTGATGACTATAACACGTGACGTCTCTACAAAATACGTTGTGATTTTCGTCTTATCGTTGAAAGAATTTCCACAATTGGAGCTACAGTTAAATTTAACTCTCACGCAATTTTAAAGCGTCGATACGAACCGTTCGTGCGTGTTATGTTTGCTCGAACCGACCAATACCTACTCCAAAAATATGTAGATTGGTTTTTGTGTTTACCCAAATCGACGTCAGAGATAACGCTTTTGATTGTAATTTTATACATTATTTTTGTTAAAATAACAAACAAATTGAGAACAGTATCCGGTAGCTGCGAATGTGTTGATCGGTATGCCATAGTTGCATCCTCAAGAAGAAGGTACACTCGTATACAGTTTTAATTTTTTTATTTAGAAATAAACGATTATTATTATTATTATTATTGTATTGTAGTCACAAAGTTAGTTGAATTTCCATTCTTAGACCAATAATGACATAGTCTGTATTAGGCCTTCCGCGCACTAGGCAACCAGTTGAACATAATATGACGGTGTAAGTGACCCTGCGCACCCGGTATATTAGGTATATGTAAACTCTCTACTGCCTAATGTTCGCCATACACTGTCATAATGTTCGACTGGCTGCCTAGTGCATGGAAGGCCTAATACGGAACTTAATGTGTTAACAAATAAAGAAAGAAAACAATGCTGAGATAAATATTGTTTAATGAAGTGCGACGTGAGTGACGTTATGTTTTCCTTCGGAGAACGCAATGCTTCGGATTTCCTGTAGAGTACACAATACATATAGTCTTGTATTTATTCTCAGTCTTCCGGCGACATTTCCCCTCATTTTTAGGGTTCTGTACATAATAGGATGTCAACAGGACCCTAAAATATAGGTGTCTCTATTTTGTAGTACAACTGTCGAGCGATTTGATTCTCATAGACTGTTATGTGTTGCATTTCCATTAGAAATGTTGCTATGACAGAAAATAATAAAACATATTTTTTCCGTCTTTTGTTAAAAATAAATAACGACAAAAAGTAGGTGAAATTTTAACAAAATTAACAGGGACTTATAAGAAACCATAATTAGAGGTACCCACCTATTGTTTTTGTTAAAATGAAAGTATTGAAAGGGTAGAATACTAATATGGTGTTTAATATGTTTAATATATGGCCCATTTATTGTCCTGAAGCAGTGGTAGGGTTAATACTGGGACAAGTAAAAGTGCTTTTTTTAAGCCTATTTACAGAAATAAATGAGTTTTAATGAGTTCTTTAGTTTTTTTATACTACGGGACCCTTCGTGTGCGAGTCTGACTCGCACTTGGCCGTTTTTTTTCCGCCGCGTCGCGCACAATCGGACTTATCGCATCACTTACGAAGCCTACGGACCCATTATACAATTTATCAAGCTGTCCGTCTGCAAATTTAGGTCAAAATTTATCATTTTTCCTCCAACAAAGCTTCATTTTTTGCACTAAAGTAGCCTATTGACACGAAAACCCTAAAGATCCTTCCTTCTTTCTCAACTGAAAGATGTCCCATACTACATTTCTAAATGACAATTCCTGCTTCACGGGTCCACCAAGTGAGAGTGATGCTTTTGGGGGTAGTAATAGGGACATTGATTTTAGGGTAGCTGCCGAAGCCACACACGACGACCCAAATTTTATAGTGGTCCAATGTCCAATTCTTACCAATGTTGGGACAGACTTTCGGCTTTTATAAAAGAACGTAGGTCTGGCGTTCACTGGCTCTAAGACCATTAGGCAGTAGTTAGCAGACTTAAAGTCCCTCACCCAAAAGTGCTCGAACTTAAAACCGGATATCTTACAGGTTAAAGGTAAAAAGTACACCAGTGTTACACTGAGTGGGAGTCTGCCTAGGCAAAAGTTAGCAAAGCGCCTTGTTGCCCTTCTTTAGCGTTATCATATTGTTCACGTGATGAACAAAGACTTCCTCTAAGACCTAGGACAACAACCAGCCCTAAGCTGGCGGGCCGGGTGCCGGCATCGAGGCTTCGAGGCGCTTCCTTATACTTTCACTGGCTCATCAGTCCACCAGTGAGAGTCCTGGTAAGGTAGCTTGAAGTTCATCATCATCTCAGCCATAGGACGTCTACTGTTGAACATAGGCCTCACCCAATGCTTTCAATGTTGCCTGGTTGGTAGCGGCCTGCGTCCAGCGCCTTCCTGCCACCTTTATGGTGTCGTCGGCCTGAAGTTACAAGCTATAAAAATCACTCACCCAAAAGTACTCGACCTTAAAGCCGGGTATCTTCCGATGGCTGGCGCCGACCTGATGGATGTACTCGAAGAAGTTGTCCAGGTCATCTAAGCCCTTGATGCCCTCATCCAGCGTGTTCATGACGTTGTTGGCGTGCTCTGCTAACTCCATGGAGTTGATCTGCTCCTCCTTGGTCCGGTACTGGCGGAACTTCTCGAACATGTGCAGCAGGTCTTGGTTCTCTTCGAATAATCTGGAAAAGAAGCGTACATTTAGACTTGTGAATTAGGATTGTTGATTGTGTCGAATAATCTGGGAAAGGAGTGAGGTTTGGTGTATTATTTGATTGTTTTCGGGATATGTGTGTATGTGTTTACTGATCCCGCCTCTCTTTCCTATCAATGCAACTCCTGTGTTGCCAGGATCTACAGTTTGGGCTCCAGTGAAACCCAAGCCCAACCAGTGAACGTTAAGTAGTCCCGGATGATAGATTGTTTTAGAGATGAAAACAGTAATGTTTTTGTAGGTTGGTTGCACACACGGCTGTGCTGAGCTAAAATATTATTGCTTACCGAGTGATAAGATTGTCTTAGGAGCTCAGTGATGAAAAGTCAGTACCTAAATCCTAAATAAGGCGATTTTAACTGAATTTTGGGCAGTCCTTTATCTCTCACTTATCTTTACTGTAGAGTTGAATGTAAATTGATATCACAAAAGGTTTATGGGTATTTAATATTGTTGGACTCACAACTAAACGTAATTAAGAGGGCACACGCTTATCTTAATATAAACCAGGGGTCAGTTTAAGTGCAATTCAAAATGGCAGTCACGTTCTTGTCTAAGGCCCGGCTTCCACCAAGGCGGAGCGATACAGAGACGAGAGGAGATGTGCGGCGAAGCTGGCAGGCTATTTCCACAAAAGCGGAGCGGAGAAGAGAGAAGAGCGGAGTAATGCGGAGACGATAGGAAATGTTTGAGCTGTGCGTATCTGGCAGCTGTCAGTTTATTGCTATTTAGGCAAACCAAAGCGGAGCGAAGAAAAACGAAGAAGAGCGGAGCGGTGCGGAGACGAGAGGAGATGTGTGAGCTGTGCGTAGCTGCAGAGTAAATACAAATGAGTAGGTCATCTTCATAGAAACGCCCGAGCGCGGTTTGTATGTGAGCGCGCCAATACGTATGACACACTCACAAAATTTAGCGTTGATTAGCGGCGAGTTCCCCGAATTTTGTCAGTGTGTGCGTGCGCGCTGCATACGTATTGGCGCGCGCTCACATACAAACCGCGCTCCGTGCGTTTCTATGAAGATGACCTATTCATTTGTATTTACTCTGGTAGCTGGCAGCTGTCAGTTTATTTCTATTTAGGCAAACCAAAGCGGAGCGAAGAAAAACGAAGAAGAGCAGAGGGTATGGAAACGAGAAGAGATGTGTGAGCTGTGCATAGCTGCAGAGTAAATACAAATGAGTAGGTCCTCTTCATAGAAACGCCCGAGCGCGGTTTGTATGTAATAATATCCTTGGACATTTTACACTGCGCTTCTAGTCCCAAACTAAGCAAAGCTTGTACTATGGGTACTAGACAACGGATATAAACATACTTAAATACTTTTTTTTTTGTAAATACATACATATTATACATAGAAAACACCCAGTCCAATACAAACAAATATGTTAATGCACACAAATGTTTGTATTGTGTGGGAATCGAACCCGCAACCTCTGGAATTGTAGTCCGTTTCAAACCACTACACCAAACGGCCGACATATGTGAGCGCGCCGCATACGTATTGGCGCGCGCTCAAATACAAACCGCGCTCGGTGCGTTTCTATGAAGATGACCTATTCATTTGTATTTACTCTGGTAGCTGGCAGCTGTCAGTTTCTTGCTATTTAGGCTAAACAAAGCGGAGCGAAGAAAAACGAAGAAGAGCGGAGCGGTGCGGAGACGATAGGAAATGTTTTAGCTGTGCGTAGCTGTCAGTCTATTGCTATAGATGACCCAGGCTGAACTGTCCCACGAAACTCAATGACAGGGGGGCGCTACCATCGTTCAACTATATGGTTTCCAACATGGCAAAAATCTGAACCAGCGATCCGGTATTGACGGTGGCGCCCCACTGTCAATGTCATGCGTAGGACAGTTCAGTATTTTGGAACTATATCAATGAAACACTGCACCGCTCCGCACATTTCCGCTCTTCTCCGTACCGCGCCGCTGTCAAATTATATAGAAAAACGAATGCGCCTGACACTTCTCCGCTCGATCCATTTCCACCGAAGTGGGGCGAAGTTGAGATGTGCAAACAATGGAATCTGATTGGTAACAGTGTTGTCAGCTCACAGAAAAAAAAATCCCCAGCTAAATAAAAAAAAATCTCTAGATTTCTTCATATTACACTGGTCAACAAAAAATCAAAATTAAAATGGTGCCGAGATTCTGTTGATAGTTTATTATTAGGTGTGTATTACTAATCATAAAAATATTTTTCTTTTTTTTTCCTACGTGTAGTTTTTGATCTACCCTCAGTTTTTAATTTTAGCTTTAATCGGTACTTTGGTTGCACAGTTTGTAATGTTATCGGTATATTTTTATAACGAAATTTATTTTAATATCATGTCTGCATTGCCAAGAAGTTGCCTCAACGATCCAAATGTAATTTGTTACATTTGTGATGTGTACACAGTTAAGAGTTTCAAAAATTTAGTCAATATTTTAATAAAAAGTGCTTATTTTTCTTACTTTAAGTCGGAAATTGTGGTTGTATTCAAGCCGTGGATACACGAAATTGTTTGTATAATCTGCTGTGAACACTGAGGCAATGTTTCAATGGTCAAAGAAGCCATAACATAAAGTTCAGAGTGGAAAAAGTGAGGAAAAAAAAAAAAAACCTGGTTTGAGCATAAAAAAAGGTTAAAGCAGTAAATTTTTGAGGGCCCACAAATAAGAATATTAATAAAAGATACTGATTTCTTAAGTTTGATGGACGTTTGGAACGATTTACGTGGACTTCGTTCGTTGAAGTTACTAAAAATTTTTTCGGAAATCACAGGACTAGTAACTACTATGAAATTGTGAGACATGCCCTAAAAACTCAGGATGTAATAATTTTCATCAAAGGGCACTACCTCCACAGTCATCTTGATCAATTCCCAGAGAATCTTGGGTCACTATAGTATGCTATAGCTAAGAACAAGGAGAGCGATGCTATCAAGTCCTAAAACCCATTGGAAGAGAGGTACCAAGGCAGATGGGATAGCTATATGATGGCTGATTACTGCTGGAGGATGTAACGTGATAGTTCCATTACACCTCACTCACAAAAGTCGTGGAAAAGAAAGTTTTTAAGCACTTCAAAATATTATAAACGCTGATTTTGGTGAAATTTTGTATTTTTCTATACACGTCAAAATCTAGAAAACCACACGTAGGAAATCAACAAATTTGCTACTAAAGCAACCAGTATAAGGTCCTTAATCAAAAAATATATACAGTTCCTTGGCACCAAAACCACTGTTGACCAGTGTTATTACTTAAAAAAATCTCCAAAATTCACTAACGAATTAATTTTATCAAGGGTCAAGTATTAAATAAAATCACAAGTTATTTGTTAAGAAACATAATTTTAATCGTAAGAATAATAATTATTAATCTTAGTGACAAGTTAAAAAGCAACTTAAGTATTTAAAAAGCAATAAATCAAAACTTTAAATTAGAAATCAACATTCATTATGGATAAATTTTTGAGTATTTCAAACAGAGATCACATCACTCGGGAGCTCATAGCTATAACAGGTTTTGTTCATTATTTTTAATTGGTTTCTTATGAAGAGAATACTATTTAAAGTGTTTACAGCATCTACTGATAAGAAAGAATGGGTTTGACAAATTCTGAGAATAGATAACAATGTGATCTAACGATAAAATCACTCTCTAGTACCGTAACTGCCGCTTTTTCTAAAATAAAGAACTAAAATACAATCACAAAAGAAGTCAATTTTAATTTTTTTTCGGAATCGTTAAACAGGTTAAGTTGCGGTTTGGAGCAGCTGGAAATTGCTTAGAATATTAGTAAATAATGCAGTTATACCGACCTAGGTTATTTCAAGTCACGATCTAGCAGGTCTTCGGAGAAAATTACTACTTTATGTCTCGTTTCATACAAAAAAAAAACAAAAATTATTTTTTTTAAGCTAAAGTATCAGGTTTAGAGAAAAATGTGATATGACATGTCGTGATAAGTGAGCAAAGGACTATCGATGGGCAATTTTTAAAATCCGATTTTCCGGAAAAAATCCCTAAACAAGTACACTTTTATGCCGTTTCGATCCACTGTGTAGCGTGGGGATTCCTTCAAGGGCGGGCAAATAGAGTTGCCATTTTGTTTTCTCTAATTACCCCAGATTTTAAAAATATCATTAAAAATCACCAGATGTTTTTCTAGTGATATCTTTTCCAAAATTTCACCATGGAGCCCCTAAAAATCACTAAATCTAGCGACAAATTCACCAAACTGGCAACACTGATTGGTAATTGAAAAAAGACCGCATCGCTCCGCACATCTCCGATCTTTTCCACACCGCGCTGCTGTCAAATTCTATAGAAAAACGAGTGCGCCAGACACACTCCTTAGTTAGTTAGTTTTGCAGGGCAATCGAATACCGCAGACACACTCCTTCTTCAAACTACTTCTCCGCTCGATCCATTTCCACTGAAGCGGGGCAGAGTGGAGATGTGCAAGCGAATCTGATTGGTTATTCAAAAAACTTCTCTGCTCCGCTCTACACCGCTCCGCCTTGGTGGAAGCCAGGCCTTAAAGGTATGGCCGGTAAAATGAAACCATAAATGCCGCCGGAGCCGTTAGCTACGCACAGCTATGAGTATGAGGGCCGCGTTTATTTTTAAACGATCATCCCTCTGACCCTCGGTGTACCCTCCAAGTACAGTTAGACTCAGAAAACTTTACTATTTGTGATATTTATTTAATTAGGCTTCATTCTCTGGGATTTGAAAACTTAAGTTATTTAAGCAGCTAGAAAACTTTCTAATTGGCTTAGATTTAATGTTACTTAAACTGACACGAAAATTGAAAAATAAGCTGTTGAGTTTCTAAATAAATAAATATACTCAAAAGTCTAGTACGCTGAGTATATTTGACTTTTGAGTTATAAATAGTTTGTGATACTCAAAACGATCAAAAAGTTGTCAACATAATCTTATTCCAATTTCCAATTGACAAAGACGTGTTGTGAACT